GAGATGACCGCAGTAAAGAAGCCAGACGTACAGGGCTGTAGTGAGATGACCGCAGTAAAGAAGCCAGACGTACAGGGCTGTAGTGAGATGACCGCAGTAAAGAAGCCAGACGTACAGGGCTGTAGTGAGATGACCGCAGTAAAGAAGCCAGACGTACAGAGCTGACCCGCACGTTTTAGGGATCAGGTATAACATGAAGTCTGTAAGTGGTTAATGACCCAACTTTCCAATGTGATACATTGAATTTATATTTTGTTTTCAAAGTTCCTTACTGAGTGCTTGCTTTGTTAAAATGTTAAATGCCTTTCATTGTGTCTGTCTGGTGAACTAATGCCATGTCAATTAGACCTGTGTTCTCTGGTTGGTTCCTGCAATATCCCTGTATTCGTTGTCCTGTTATTTCACACACCTTGTGTTCTCTGTAACAGGCTTTTACACAGTTACTTTCTTCTATTGGGTTTATCCTCCACCAACCCTGAACATGTGGTGTATGTGGGGGGTTTACAAGGATAATTGTCGGCAATATTTTGAGGTGCGAAATCCAGTGTTCTTTTGTGGGACTTTTGTATAAATATTATTAAATGTTTTCACTCTGCAGTTTGTCTCTTAATAAATCCATGCTTCTCGGAATGGCTGTGGCATTGTTGGTTAAGGGATGACAGTGGTTGTGGTATAATCCTACAATTTGTTTAACTCTCACATTAATTAGATTCTGTGGGGGTCAATGCCATTTTCTCTATATTTTGTTTATTTATATTTTCTTTTCTCTCTGCTGTTTTTCTGGATTCAGATGATGCCACTGAGGTTTGGGAGGAAGACAGTTTTCTGGGACAGACATGTGACGCTCACAGCCCACCACAGATGCTTAGCTACTTTGCACAACCCCTGGGGAGTAGCAATGACCCATTTGCTGCGATTGTACAGCCACCCCTTAACACAGCACCTCCGTCATCTGCGCATGCCGCTTTCTCTAAGCCTCCAGCATCAATGCCCTTGGCATCTGGACCTCAAAATGGACAAAACCTGGTTCCCTTACAAACTCCAAAGGCCATCTCTATAAGCAATATACCTCCGGCTTCCAAAAGTACAAGTGATTTCCAGCCAGCCTCACAGCAATGCCCCCCACCCACTACCTTTGCAGCTCCTGTGTCAGGGTCATCTCAAGCTGCGTTTAATCCCTACCGTCATAATGTGCACAGCAGTCGGGCCAACCCATATTTAACCCCACCGCAGCTTCAAGAGACAATGGGTCACTCCACGCAGACAACCCAATTTGCACCGCCTCAACACATTTACCAAGGACCTGCTGCTCCTCTGCCGCCAGTAAGTGCATATTTGGCATAACTGTCTTTTATCTCCAATTCTAGAGTGTGTTGTGGAGTCTACTGGCTTTTTTCCATTGAACATATTTACATATTGGCATCGTACTCTGATCTAGACTTTGTGCATGGATTTCTTGCAGATCTGCTTTTGTTTGTGGCTCTATTAATAATTGTCTTTTACTTAGTGAGCACATATTAGATTCTATGTGAACTGCCATGTGTCATGTAAGATTCTTTGCAAGGACAGTCTTGGTTTTCATCTCCGTGTCTGAGTATCGTTTATTACAGTCAGTTGGCCAATCACACGCGTTAAAGGCAAGCCAGAGGACTATAAAATAGGAGGATGAAGCAAGGTGGCATCTGATACTCTATCATATACACACGAAATATCAAATTTAGCGCATCACTTTATTTGGTTTCTTGTGTAGTCCACAATACCTCGAGGGTTGTGTGTTGGATGGTTTCACACTAGGAGGATACATTTTATTATTTCTTGTAATGAGAATTATAATAATCTGTCTGTCTTTAGCCTCCACCAGCTGCTTCGTCGTTTCCACCTTCAGTACAGCTCTATTCAAACACGAAACCTGCAGGTCCTTTGGTGCCTGGGCCACCTACTTTTATGCAGAACCTATATGAGCCCGTACAGCCGCACTGGTTTTACTGCAAGCAAGTGGAGGGCAAGACGATTTGGCTGCCGTTTAGCAACTATGATTCGTTGAATCTGGAGGAGATTTATAACTCTGGTAAGCATGCGTTTCCAATGCCCAGGTCTAATCCGCATCTCATGCCATCATTACTGTAAGTCTTACATATTGCTATGGCCTGGCACAAAACAAGTTAAAAGCTACACCAAGCCATTAATGTCCCAGTCATACCACGTCACCAGTATCTAGTGATATGTATCCTCATAGCTTGTAAGCCTTTCTTTACCTCCAAGTATCCCCTTTCTATAACTGGAAAGCGATGCAAAATATGTTGGTGCTATATAAATCATATAAATAATAATACTGGTAATGAACATGGTAATAAAAGCCTTTTCCTTATTGTCACTTTCCAGGATGTTTAACATAATGATTATGTATGCCCTATATCTGAACAATAGGAGTTTGTGAAGTCTGTAATGTAATATTATAAATATTGCCTTTTTTCTTCAAATGAGCAGCTTGTGGCAGAGGAAAGCAGTGTGTTTTGTTTTTCCCTCCTGCTTTCTATTGTGTGCCTGGTCTGTACTGGGTTGTGATGTCACTCGCTAAATCTATATGATATATTTAAATGAAATTGGTGCATCGCGCGTAGGGGATTATTTAGTGGTGTAAATTTTCATTTAAAGAGACGCTAAGCTCCCATCTTTCTCTTTTTATAACCTGTAGTCGGCTCATGAGGAGTTCCCTATTCTACTATTCTTGCTGTAGTTTTCATACAGTTGAATGTTTCTTCTGCAGTCCAGCCAGATCCGGAGAGTGTAGTGATTAGTACAGACGGTGGTCGTTACGATGTCTATCTCTACGATCGGGAGAGGAAAGCGGTTTTCTGGGATGAAGAGGAGTCTGAAGTCAGACGCTGCTCCTGGTTCTACAAGGGAGACATGGACAGCAGGTTTACCCCATATAGCGAGGAATTCAGTGAGAAGCTGGAGGCAAGTTTATCACCAGGGGTGGGGGTGGGGTTATCTCCCAGATCATTAAGCCAATGTCTTGGCCTTAATGTTGTTTATTCTCCGCAGGCAGAGTATAGGAAAGCCATTACCAGTAACCAGTGGCACAGGAGGCTGGAGTTTCCAGGAGGAGAAACCATTGTGATGCACAATCCCAAGGTAAAGCAGCAGTTACCCCGACTAAGCTGGCTCCAGATTTCTGTGTCTTGCAACAAAACCAGAGAATATGATAACTCTGATAACGGACAAAAGCTTAGAGAAACTGAGTAGCTTGCCCTTCGGTAAATCCTGGCTCCGGTTTAAAACCATTACACAGAGAACCAATTCCAAGGCGCATCAGACTAATCCCACCATAAGGGTAATCCAGAACCAAAATGTCGCTCCGCACAAGAGATACCACAACCCCAGATCAGTCTGATATGCCTGGGAACTGGTTCTCTCGGCAGTGGTAAAAGTGAGCAAAAACTATTTTGAGACCTGTGCGGGGATTTTCCAAAGAAAATAACAGATTGGTAAAGTCGGATCAAGTTAGTTCTAAAGGCGAGATGAGTTCCTGTAGGCTTTTGTCTGTTCTCATACTCTGTTTTTGTTGCTTCCTGTATACCTGCTCCTCGGTTTTTGCCTAGCACTGGCTGATGTGACTGAACAAATTTGTGCTTCCCAGGTGATTGTTCAGTTCCAGCATTCTGCTGTTCCAGATGAGTGGGGAACCCCTCAAGATGGGCAGGCCAGGCCCCGTGTGGTGAAACGAGGCATTGATGACCATGATGAAATTCCAGATGGTACATGATGGGCTTGGTGGGCGCAAACGTGCATAAATCCCTAACCTGGAATCTGTTTAGACTAGAGATTCTTGTAGTCCAGGGTAGGCAGCCTACAGTCTGAAAGTTAGTGAAAACTAATATGTTATGCCATGATTGTGAGAGGTCCTCATGATACATCGCTGATCACTAACTGATGTCCTCCTTGGGCTCATGGATTACTGGTGATAAACCGGTATGACACTTAATCTTTTGGTTTATGTGGTTTTGGAGGTCTGTAGCTCGGTTTTGTTTGTTGTCTTTGGCTTAAAGGAAAATTCCAAGCACCATAAGCCGTACAGCGCACTGCTTGTAGTGTCTTCTCGATCTATGTTGCAATTGATCAGATGTTTGTTTTTGTGTGTTTTGTAGCTGTTCTTTTAACATGCTTTTCTACAGTTCTGTCGAGTACGTTTGTCATTTTATGCATAACTTAATGGACTTTCTTTCAGGTGAAGTGCCTCAGGCTGACCATTTAGTGTTTATGGTACATGGCATCGGACCAGTTTGTGACTTGCGCTGTAGAAGCATTGTGGAGTGTGGTGAGTGATTGTCAGAACTTTTCTATTTTATTTCATAAGAAAATAAGAGTGGCAAAGTTGGATCGAGTTTGTTCTAGAGGTGCACTGTACTGTTAAAATGACTTTCACTCTGCACTGGCTGCCTTAGAATGTTCCAAAGCTGGTTTAATTAGAACTACATTTCCCTATAACCTTAGTAGTCTTTGTTTGCAGATTATACTTTTGTGACTAGTTGTCTTGAACAATCAAATATATAGGATTCATAAAGGTGAACTGTTCATTATGGGATTGCCATTGAGGAGATTTGGAGTCATCATATAAACATCATATGATATTATGTTTTTTATTTATTGTTTTCCTCTATTAAGTATAAATTTTTATTTTTGCTTTTAAATAGTGGATGATTTCAGAACAGTTTCCCTAAAGCTTCTCAGAACCCACTTTAAGAAGCCACATGAAGAAGGCAGAGTGAGGCGCGTTGAGTTCCTGCCGGTACATTGGCATAGCACCCTCCACGGAGATGCCACTGGGGTGGATCGGTCAGTACCTTCGCTGTTTTTATAAATATCTCTCTTCCTGGCTGCAAAATAAGAGAGTAATTGATGGCTGTTTTCAGCAAACAGTAATATTGCACAGTGAGAGAGAGTTTGTGAGTGTAAAGGGGAATCCTAAGCACCATCACAACTTTAAATTATTGTAAAATGTCCCAGCTCTTATCATAGTTTAGAACAGAAACAACTTGTAAAAATCTCTGTAGCTGTAATCCACACTCTCAGAGCTGCCGAAGGTAGGAGACATTTAATGTAAGAAAAGGAATACACATTCATTTTGGGCACACATGCCCTTTATCAGCTTACAGTGGGGGAGGCAATATACATTCATAAAAGATGTTTGTATATTCCTTTCCCTACATTAAATGTTTGCGTGGCACTAGTGCACCCAGAGCTTTCTGTACCTGTGTTTCTATCCGTTCCTAAATTTGAATTTCTGTGTACACTTGTCTAAGCAAGCAGTATTTGTGGTTTATTGACAGCAGTGCAGTTTGACCTTTTTTAACCCATATAAGTACTGCAGTAACCTCCTCCATCATATTATTTGCAAATTGTCAGACAGCTGTTTTAGTCTGGCTGATGGTATCTGGTGTGTGTGTGTGTGTGCGCATGCATAGTGGAGGAAACAGGGCTGACCTGTAGATCTTACACACATCCTAGTTCCCTAGTGGTAGCTTCAATGAACACTACAATTGCCAAAACCACATACAGCTTGTTCTTTTCAGTATGGCTGCGATCAGCCTTCTGCTTATCATATGCAAAGTTCCCTTAATAAAGTGGTTTTGGTGCATAGACTCTGTCCATCTTTTCGGAAATGGTAAAAAATAAACAAAACACTATTTCAAAGAGATTATTTAAAAAAATAAAGATTAAGAATTTTCTGATGCTAAAATCTAGATTTTCATAATTTGTCAGTAAAATTAAACGTGTCTAATCCTGGTTCGTTGTTGATGCCCAGGTATGGACTGTAGAAATATGCTAAATTGAATGGGGTTGCAGTTGTCTGCCTCATTTAATGTAAAGGCAGTGGAGGTAATATCAGCAGAGTCTCCTAAGGTCATTTGTTTTCGTTTTTCAATATGTTGAATAATTATTTCCCGCCATAATTGGCCATGTTGGAAACATTAGAGCACCAGAGTTGAAAACAACCCTTTCCTGCACAGTTAAATGTTGGGAATGTATCTGCATATCCCACTGATTGGCTGCTCATATGATAACATGCTCTTTTCAGTCTTGTTTTTTATCAGAACAAAAGAAAATGCAAGGGCTGTGCCACAGGTAAACACTAATAGTACAACTTATTTGGCACAAAAGCAGAAATAGGTCTGGTGCAAAAGTCTCACAAAGAAAGTTCTTATAATCCAAAAATGAAAAAGTCAGTGCTTGATAGGATTCAACTTGACCATAGATAATATGGTAGACAAAAGACAAGGATAGGTGATGGTGTAGCTTGTTAAGTGCAGTCTTTTATATAAGGAAAAGATAACGATGGGACACTCACATTTGGAAGAGCTATAGCCAGCTCTAGCAGTATAGGCATACAGCGGTATAATCCCCGCTTTAAAGGATAAACCGCAACTGTCAACCACATTCACACCAAGATGATATAAAAGACAGGAAACGGGAACAGGTGATCGTGCAGACTGTATGATTCAATCAGATAAAAGTATAAGATAATGATGGAACACTTACATTTAGAAGAGCTATTGCCAGCTCTAGCAGTATAGGTCTACAGCGGCATAATTCCTGCTTTAAAGGTAGTGAGAGCAGATAGTGCTCTCAATAAAATAGAGTAATCTAATAAAATTTAAGTAAAATTTTTCTTACAAGGATAGAGCAGACTGACTGCACTATGAACACAGCGTTGGTGGTATTATCCCCACCTTGGGATTACTTGAAGTATAACACTTAGAATTACCAGGGAAAGTGCATATAACAAAGGAGATTGGCACACAAAGGTGACCAAAAAACCTTTAATAAGTTAAAATACACAATATTAAATGTCCAAAACGCGTTTCACCTTAAGGGATTCCCTTTGCTGTGGCCGCTGCCTACCCAATAATCCTGCGTTAATTAGCACTGACCTGTTTTGTATTTTGTTTTGATCAGTAACGGGAACGAAAGGTTTAAAAATGTTGATGAATTCCAAGATGGCATTTTAAAGAACTTTTTAATTCGAGATTTCACCAATAAGAAGATTGGCATCTGACCTGTTTGTAACTCTGCAAGTCTTCCTGTCTATGCAGGCATATTCGAAAGATCTCACTACCCAGTATCAGTCGCCTCCGCCACTTCACCAATGAGACACTATTGGACATCTTATTCTACAACAGCCCGACTTACTGTCAGACCATTGTGGATAAAGTCAGTTTGGAGCTCAACCGCCTGTACGAGCTGTTCATGAGTCGAAACCCAGGCTTTAAAGGAGGCGTGTCCGTGGCAGGCCACAGTTTAGGTAATTCAGAGTAAGATATGCAATGTTGGGTAATATGATAGTCCACCACTGACTTTTATTGTCCGACAGTGGAGATCTGCTCTATCAAACACGTCTGCATTGTTAATAAAACATGTATTATTTTAATTTTCTTTTTTTTTTTCTTTCAAGGTTCATTGATTCTATTTGACCTGCTTTCCAATCAGACTGATTTAAGGTCTACACCTCCCATGCCTGTTGTTTCTCCCCCTGTAAATGGCCCTTTAAAAAAAGAAATTGCGGACAACAAACCGGTATGTTAGAGCAATCCAGTGTCAATCTGTGTGTGCAATAACTTTCACAATGGCAATCTGTGTGTGCAATAACCTTCACAACGGCGATCTGCCTGTGCAATAAGCTTCACACGGCAATCTGCCTGTGCAATAAGCTTCACACGGCAATCTGCCTGTGCAATACTCTTCTTGTATATTATGTGTGTTGCCCATGGCATGACAATCCGTGTGTACTGCGTCCTTTGTTTGTACAATTACCTTCTTATGGCGATCTTAGTGTGTCTGATGTGGCAATCTTAGTGTGTCTGATGCCCATTATGTGGCAATCCTAGTGTGTCTGATGCCCATTATGTGGCAATCTTAGTCTGTCAGATGTGGCAATCTTATTCAAAGTAGATCATCTGTGTACAGTGTTAGACTCATTGATATTTTGGATATGGCAAAATGGGTTGGGGTGTCCCTCCTGATTCTGTCACTGGATAGCTGGCTGTCTTGAACTGATTACAGGAGATCGTGAAAAAACCTATTTTACCAGTGAGAAGGAAATGGGAGCAAGCCCTAAATATTAGAATCCATACTGAACAATGGGCTGACTCACTAAAACTGGTCCAAAAGAAAGTTCACTCTTTAAATTTAACGGGAGTTCATTATAAAATTCTAAATAAATGGTACTTGGTCCCAAGTAGACTGTCTATGACCTATTATTATGTTTCACATATAGAGAGGAGATTCCATGTGTATATGGTGGGACTGTCAACCTAAGCAACATTTTTGGAATAGGATTCATGCTAACGTTTAAGTTTTACTCCGTAAACCGAATCGAATTCCATCCAAGTTTATTTCTATTGCAGCTAAATTTTCAAAACATCTTCGCTCCGTCCTCAATGATTGTTTATACACATTAGCTGAAACTGGAAATCGACTCTAGTTCCCTGCTGGAGGGTAGTTAAAGAACATCTTCTTTGTTTTGTTTTTTTTTGTTTTTTTTTTTTTCAAATTAAAATGGAGATGGATATTTCTAAGTCCTTATATGTTATAGGGACACTATAGTCACCTGAACAACTTTAGCTTAATGAAGCAGTTTTGGTGTATAGAACATGCCCCTGCAGCCTCACTGCTCAATCCTCTGCCATTTAGAAGTTAAATCCCTTTGTTTATGAACCCTAGTCACACCTCCCTGCATGTGACTTGCACAGCCTTCCATAAACACTTCCTGTAAAGAGAGCCCTATTTAGGCTTTCTTTATTGCAAGTTCTGTTTAATTAAGATTTTCTTATCCCCTGCTATGTTAATAGCTTGCTAGACCCTGCAAGAGCCTCCTGTATGTGATTAAAGTTCAATTTAGAGATTGAGATACAATTATTTAAGGTAAATTACATCTGTTTGAAAGTGAAACCAGTTTTTTTTTCATGCAGGCTCTGTCAATCATAGCCAGGGGAGGTGTGGCTAGGGCTGCATAAACAGAAACAAAGTGATTTAACCCCTTCAGGACCTAACTCTTTTTGCAATGTTTGTGCTTTAAGGACCAGAGCTATTTTAACACTTTTGTGGTGTTTGTGTTTAGCTGTAATTTTCCTCTCTCTCATTTACTGTTCCGATACAAATTATATATTGGTTTTTTTTTCAAGACAAAAAGGGCTTTCTTTACATACTATTATTTTTATCATGTCATATCATTTAATTAAAAAAATTATAAAATATGGTGAAAAATTAAAAAAAAACATTTTTTTTTTTTTTTACTTACTTTAAAAATCTTTTACTGATCTACAAAATCGAATGAAACAAACTGTTAAATAGATTCAAAATGTTGTCCTGAGTTTAAAAACACCCAATGTTTGTTTTTTTGCTTTTATTTGCAAGTTATAGGGCTATAAGTACAAGTAGGAAATTGCTGTTTCAAAATGTACATTTTTCAAATGTATCAATAGTGACATTGTAACACTGTTATGTCATAAATCTCCCCAAAACACCCCATTTGTATATATTTTTTTTAAAGTAGACAACCCAGTGTATTCATCTAAGAATATTTTGATACTTTCTATGCAGCCATTTTACCACAAACCTTTGCCAAACTTTGCATAGGTAGTTTATTTTTATTTATTTTTTTCACACACATTGTACTTTAGGCATGAATTACCAGATTGAGTTATGTGTCACTGCCAAACACCACCCCAATATGTGTTCAGCAAGATCTCCTGAGTACAGTGATACCACCCATGCATAGGCTTGTCGGATTTCTTGGGGGCTAAAAGGCTATGTTTGGCAGGTGCGCATATCAGTTTCCCAATGTCCCATTTGAGCCATTATATTTTACCCCGATCAAACCATATATTTTTGAAAAGTAGACAACCCAGGGTATTTTAAATGGTGGTATTTAACACTTTTCATGCACTGAATTCTACCACCAGCCTTGGTCAAGCTTTTGGGTTGTAATATTTTTTTTGTTTCTTTGTCACACACATTGTACTTTAGGCATGATTTAACACCCCAATATGTGTTCAGCAACATCTCCCGAGTACAGTGATACCCCCCATGTATAGGGTTGCTGGGTTGTTTGGGGGCTAAAAGGCAACAATAAGAATTTGTACATGTCAGTTTTTCAACTTGATATATAGGTCTGCTTGGCCTATCTTCAGTTGGACATATTTTTGCACCGCCCAGTTAATGTTACCATCATGGCAGTATATATTTTTATAAAGTAGACATCAAATGTTATGGGGTGTTTTGACTTCTTTCCCCCAACCATATGAATGCTTTCCTATGTGACCGGCTGAATGCGCGCGCAGCTCTTGCCGCGCGTGCACATTCAGCCGACGGGGAGGAGAAGAGGAGAAGAGGAGGATCGGAGGAGGAGAGCTCCCCGCCCAGCGCTGGAAAAAGGTAAGTTTTAACCCCATTCCCCCTTCCAGAGCTGGGCGGGAGTGGGACCCTGAGGGTGGGGGCACCCTCAGGGCACTATAGTGCCAGGAAAAAGTGTTCTCCTGGCACTATAGTGGCCCTTTAACATTAATGCCTGCGTTGGCACTAAAATGGGGGACGTTGGGCTCGGCTAACTGTCGAGGTACCCAGTCCTCCTCCACATTCGACGTAGCAGAGGAAGCACAGCTTCTTTCTTCAGCCAGCTCACACACAGATGACATGTCGTGTTGACTAGACGTGTCAGAAAACTGACCTGGGTCAAAATCTGACGCAGTATCAGTGGAGTCAGTCTGACGCCAAGAAGGCATATGCCTCCTGCAAGTTGTACATACGCTGCATGTTTTACACACGACTAAAACAAATTACAAACACAAATTGTTTTGTTTTTTTTAATACTTAAACAGACTAAACAGCAATCCCTAAACTAACTCTAAACTAACACAAAAATCTAATGGAGATTTGGGGGAAGGAAACTGACTAAGACAGACCAAGACACAGATTTTTAAAACAAATGTAACCCTTTACAGGGAAAAAAAAAATACAGACCGTACAAATGCACTGCTGTAACAGATCTGGCAGGGAACGGGTTAAAAATGATTTTTTTTTTAACACTTATAAAGCTGGAACTTCTGCAAGAAACTATCACAATCTCTGTCTCTCGTCTCACAAAACGCTACAGAGGAGAGAGGGGCAGAGATCAGTGTCAAAGTGAGTGTTTGTTTGTAACACCCACTTTGATAGCAGCCAATTGTGAGCGATCGCGGATTGCTCACACGCCGCAATAGGCTGTTACTATCTGCCTGGGATGTCTGGCAGATAGTTATAGTGTTATACCGGCGGGAGCGATCTTTGATTGCTTCCCGCATCCTGTTTTTTCGCTATGACGGTTCAGGGCCGTCAGCGGTCCAAACGCACGTTTTACCATTGACGGTCCTGAACCATCAGTGGTCCTAAAGGGGTTAACTCCTAAATGACATTGAATTGAGCAGTGAAATTGCAGGGGAATGATCCATACACTAAAACTGCTTTTTTTAGATGACTATAGTGTTCCTTTAATTCTAAGAAATGGTTAAAATCTGTCGAATTTCTAATGGGTAACTCCTTCCCCAGGCGTTGGTATTGTTGTGGTTTTTGTGTTTTGTTTTTTAAATTCATTTATTTATTTTTTTCTCTACTAATCTTTCTCCTTTTGGTCTCTCTCCCCGCGTGGAATCTTGTCTTATTGTGTTTTGTTTTTTATATTTATTTAGGAGTTTAAGAACTGTATATTTACGTTTTGTTTGTCGTAGTCTTGGTTAGTATATGTATATTGTGCTAATTAATAAAGGTTAACAAGAAAATTAACTAGTAAACGATGTGTTTATTGTCTGAGAATAGTGTGTGTTCCTAAATGTCTAATTATGACACTCCCACTTTTTTGATTAGATATCTCAAGCCGCCCTACTGGATTGTCCTCGTGTTCCTGATGAAGCCAGTGACTCTGACTTGTTGCAGGAAGATTCACTAAATCTGGAGGAGGCTCTGGAGTCCCTCAGCCTGGCAGAGTATGTCAGTGTGTTTGAAAAGGAGAAGATGGACATGGAGTCCCTGGTAATGTGCCCTTTAATATATGTGACCTAATTAGAATGAATAGCAGTATAGTTATCACTTAACAGAAAGTAAGAGAGTGAGTGTTTCTCAAACCGTCTGCACAATGTCAGGAGAATTTATTTTCTTGCTTCTAAAGCGGTTAGTCCTGAGACGGTCCACTGATCCAGGCAGGGCCGCCATCAGGGCATGACCACCATAATGGTTGTCTGGGGCCCGAACTGCTCTGGCAGTCCGAGACCCACATTCCTTATGTGCACAAACACACATATGTATGTACACATACACACAGATGGCCCCCTGCTACCTGTACATTAAAGAGGGAGCCCAGCAGCACACTCTGTCTAACTTTCTTGTGCCCTGCGGCCACAGGCCTGTCTCGCAAGAGTTAGTCAGAGAGGAGCTGGAAAGGAAGACAGTGTGTGCTGCTGGGCCCCCTCTTCAATGTACCGTGGCTGGCTCCCTCCACCATGCCACAGGACCACCAGGGAATGCGATTTTCCCCCCTCCCTGGCACGGAAAGGGGGAATAAAATTGAAATATACTTAAAAAAAAATAAAAAAAAAATAAAAAAAAAATACTCCCCTCCCCCCTATTTTACACACACTCTGCACTACACAGACACACACACACACACACACACACACACACACACACACACGAAACACACTCTGCACTACACGCACACTACATTCACTAAACTCTGCACTACACGCACACTACATTCACTAAACACTCTGCACTACGCACACTACATTCACTAAAGACACTCTGCACTAAACACTGCACTGCGCGCACACACACTCTGCACTACACACACACTACATTCACTAAACACTCTGCACTACGCACACTACATTCACTAAAGACACTCTGCACTAAACACTGCACTGCGCGCACACACACTCTGCACTACACACACACTACATTCACTAAACACTCTGCACTACGCACACTACATTCACTAAAGACACTCTGCACTAAACACTGCACTGCGCGCACACACACTCTGCACTACACACACACTACATTCACTAAACACACTCTGCACTACACACACACACTACATTCACTAAACACTCTGCACTACACATACTCACACTACATTCACTAAACACATACTGCACTACACACACACACACACACACACATTGCACTCACTACAAACACACTACATTCACTATACACACTACATCCACTACAAAAACACACACTCTGCATTCACTATACACACACTCTGCATCTAATGCATGCATACAAACATTACATACATTACACAAAATGTACAATCTGCATCCACTATACACACTGCATTCACTGTACACACACACTGCATCCACTGTACACACACACACTTCATCCTTGTGGGCGGACTCGGGGCTGCCCCGGGGGCCCAGATCTGTGTCAGGGGCCCTAAAATTTGGGGATGAATGAGGGCTGACCAGCAGATTTGTAATCGCAGAGAAAGTCAATCTGAAATGACTCTGCACTCAATACAAAAACTACATTTATTAAACACACTTTGCACTACACAACTCTTGCACTGCTGGGGAGTTCAGAAACTCCTGCACACCCCAAGGACACTGTCACATTGCATGGTGTATGAAGCACAGGTAGCTGAATGAAGGGTATGGTCACTCTGCATGGTGTATGGGAGCACAGGTAGCTGAATGAAGGGTATGGTCACTCTGCATGGTGTATGAAGCACAGGTAGCTGAATGAAGGGTATGGTCACTCTGCATGGTGTATGAAGCACAGGTAGCTGAATGAAAGGTATGGTCACTCTGATTGCATGGTGTATGAAGCACAGGTAGCTGAATGAAAGGTATGGTCACTCTGGCTGGTGTATGGGAGCACAGGTAGCTGAATGAAAGGTATGGTCACTCTGCATGGTGTGTGAAGCACAGGTAGCGGAATGAAAGGTATGGTCACTCTGCCTGCTGTATGGGAGCACAGGTAGCTGAATGAAAGGTATGGTCACTCTGCATAGTGTATGAAGCACAGGTAGCTGAATGAAAGCTATGGTCACTCTGCATGGTGTATGAAGCACAGGTAGCTGAATGAAAGCTATGGTCACTCTGCATGGTGTATGAAGCACAGGTAGCTGAATGAAAGCTATGGTCACTCTGCATGGTGTGTGAAGCACAGGTAGCTGAATGAAAGGTATGGTCACTCTGCATGGTGTATGAAGCACAGGTAGCTGAATGAAAGGTATGGTCACTCTGCATGGTGTATGAAGCACAGGTAGCTGAATGAAAGGTATGGTCACATTGATTGCATAGTGTATGAAGCACAGGTAGCTGAATGAAAGGTATGGTCACTCTGCATGGTGTGTGAAGCACAGGTAGCTGAATGAAAGGTATGGTCACTCTGCATGGTGTATGGGAGCACAGGTAGCTGAATGAAAGGTATGGTCACTCTGATTGCTGGTGTATGAAGCACAGGTAGCCGAATGAAAGGTATGGTCACATTGATTGCATGGTGTATGAAGCACAGGCAGCTGAATGAAAGCTATGGTCACTCTGCATGGTGTGTGAAGCACAGGTAGCTGAATGAAAGGTATGGTCACCCTGCATGGTGTATGGGAGCACAGGTAGCTGAATGAAAGGTATGGTCACTCTGATTGCTGGTGTATGAAGCACAGGTAGCCGAATGAAAGGTATGGTCACATTGATTGCATGGTGTATGAAGCACAGGTAGCTGAATGAAAGCTATGGTCACTCTGCATGGTGTGTGAAGCACAGGTAGCTGAATGAAAGGTATGGTCACATTGATTGCATGGTGTAAGAAGCACAGGTTGCTGAATGAAAGGTATGGTCACTCTGCCTGGTGTATGGGAGCACAGGTAGCTGAATGAAAGGTATGGTCACTCTGCATGGTGTATGAAGCACAGGTAGCTGAATGAAAGGTATGGTCACTCTGCATGGTGTATGAAGCACAGGTAGCTGAATGAAAGCTATGGTCACTCTGCATGGTGTGTGAAGCACAGGTAGCTGAATGAAAGGTATGGTCACTCTGCATGGTGTATGAAGCACAGGTAGCTGAATGAAAGGTATGGTCTCTCTGCATGGTGTATGAAGCACAGGTAGCTGAATGAAAGCTATGGTCACTCTGCATGGTGTGTGAAGCACAGGTAGCTGAATGAAAGGTATGGTCACTCTGCATGGTGTATGAAGCACAGGTAGCTGAATGAAAGGTATGGTCACATTGATTGCATAGTGTATGAAGCACAGGTTGCTGAATGAAAGGTATAGTCACTCTGCATGGTGTATGAAGCACAGGTAGCTGAATGAAAGGTATGGTCACTCTGCCTGGTGTATGGGAGCACAGGTAGCTGAATGAAAGGTATGGTCACTCTGCATGGTGTGTGAAGCACAGGTAGCGGAATGAAAGGTATTGTCACTCTGCTTGCTGAAAGGTATGGTCACTCTGCATGGTGTATGGGAGCACAGGTAGCTGAATGAAAGGTATGGTCACTCTGATTGCTGGTGTATGAAGCACAGGTAGCCGAATGAAAGGTATGGTCACATTGATTGCATGGTGTATGAAGCACAGGTAGCTGAATGAAAGCTATGGTCACTCTGCATGGTGTATGGGAGCACAGGTAGCGGAATGAAAGGTATGGTCACATTGATTGCATGGTGTATGAAGCACAGGTTGCTGAATGAAGGGTATGGTCACTCTGCATGGTGTATGAAGCACAGGTAGCTGAATGAAAGGTATGGTCACTCTGCATGGTGTATGAAGCACAGGTAGCTGAATGAAAGCTATGGTCACTCTGCATGGTGTATGAAGCACAGGTAGCTGAATGAAAGCTATGGTCACTCTGCATGGTGTATGAAGCACAGGTAGCTGAATGAAAGCTATGGTCACTCTGCATGGTGTATGAAGCACAGGTAGCTGAATGAAAGGTATGGTCACTCTGCATGGTGTATGAAGCACAGGTAGCTGAATGAAAGGTATGGTCACTCTGATTGCATGGTGTATGAAGCACAGGTAGCTGAATGAAAGGTATGGTCACTCTGCCTGGTGTATGGGAGCACAGGTAGCTGAATGAAAGGTATGGTCACTCTGCATGGTGTATGAAGCACAGGTAGCTGAATGAAAGGTATGGTCACTCTGCATGGTGTGTGAAGCACAGGTAGCTGAATGAAAGGTATGGTCACATTGATTGCATAGTGTATGAAGCACAGGTTGCTGAATGAAAGGTATGGTCACTCTGCATGGTGTATGAAGCACAGGTAGCTGAATGAAAGGTATGGTCACTCTGCCTGGTGTATGGGAGCACAGGTAGCTGAATGAAAGGTATGGTCACTCTGCATGGTGTGTGAAGCACAGGTAGCGGAATGAAAGGTATGGTCACTCTGCCTGCTGTATGGGAGCACAGGTAGCTGAATGAAAGGTATGGTCACTCTGCATAGTGTATGAAGCACAGGTAGCGGAATTAAAGGTATGGTCACTCTGCCTGGTGTATGGGAGCACAGGTAGCTGAATGAAAGGTATGGTCACTCTGATTGCTGGTGTATGAAGCACAGGTAGCTGAATGAAAGGTATGGTCACATTGATTGCATGGTGTATGAAGCACAGGTAGCTGAATGAAAGCTATGGTCACTCTGCATGGTGTGTGAAGCACAGGTAGCTGAATGAAAGGTATGGTCACTCTGCATGGTGTATGGGAGCACAGGTAGCTGAATGAAAGTCACTCTGATTGCTGGTGCCAAGCACAGAGTAGCCAGATAGAAAGGTATGAGTCACACATTGATTGCATGGTGTATGAAACACAGGTAGCCTGAATAGAAAGCTATGGTCACTCTGCATGGTGTGTGAAGCACAGGTAGCTGAATGAAAGGTATGGTCACTCTGCCTGGTGTATGAAGCACAGGTAGCTGAATGAAAGGTATGGTCACATTGATTGCATAGTGTATGAAGCACAGGTTGCTGAATGAAAGGTATGGTCACTCTGCATGGTGTATTGGAGCACAGGTAGCTGAATGAAAGGTATGGTCACTCTGATTGCTGGTGTATGAAGCACAGGTAGCCGAATGAAAGGTATGGTCACATTGATTGCATGGTGTATGAAGCACAGGTAGCTGAATGAAAGCTATGGTCACTCTGCATGGTGTGTGAAGCACAGGTAGCTGAATGAAAGGTATGGTCACATTGATTGCATGGTGTATGAAGCACAGGTTGCTGAATGAAAGTTATGGTCACTCTGCATGGTGTATGAAGCACAGGTAGCTGAATGAAAGGTATGGTCACTCTGCATGGTGTATGAAGCACAGGTAGCTGAATGAAAGCTATGGTCACTCTGCATGGTGTGTGAAGCACAGGTAGCTGAATGAAAGGTATGGTCACTCTGCATGGTGTATGAAGCACAGGTAGCTGAATGAAAGGTATGGTCACATAAATTGCATAGTGTATGAAGCACAGGTTGCTGAATGAAAGGTATGGTCACTCTGCATGGTGTATGAAGCACAGGTAGCTGAATGAAAGGTATGGTCACTCTGCCTGGTGTATGGGAGCACAGGTAGCTGAATGAAAGATATGGTCACTCTGCATGGTGTGTGAAGCACAGGTAGCGGAATGAAAGGTATGGTCACTCTGCCTGGTGTATGAAGCACAGGTAGCTGAATGAAAGGTATGGTCACATTGATTGCATAGTGTATGAAGCACAGGTTGCTGAATGAAAGGTATGGTCACTCTGCATGGTGTATGAAGCACAGGTAGCTGAATGAAAGGTATGGTCACTCTGCATGGTGTATGAAGCACAGGTAGCTGAATGAAAGGTATGGTCACTCTGCATGGTGTATGAAGCACAGGTAGCTGAATGAAAGGTATGGTCACATTGATTGCATAGTGTATGAAGCACAGGTTGCTGAATGAAAGGTATGGTCACTGCTGAAGCAGGTGCCTGCTGTATGGGAGCACAGGTAGCTGAATGAAAGGTATGGTCACTCTGCATAGTGTATGAAGCACAGGTAGCGGAATTAAAGGTATGGTCACTCTGCCTGGTGTATGGGAGCACAGGTAGCTGAATGAAAGGTATGGTCACTCTGATTGCTGGTGTATGAAGCACAGGTAGCCGAATGAAAGGTATGGTCACTCTGCATGGTGTATGAAGCACAGGTAGCGGAATGAAAGGTATGGTCACTCTGCATGGTTTGTGAAGCACAGGTAGCTGAATGAAAGGTATGGTCACTCTGATTGCTGGTGTATGAAGCACAGGTAGCCGAATGAAAGGTATGGTCACTCTGCATGGTGTGTGAAGCACAGGTAGCTGAATGAAAGCTATGGTCACTCTGCATGGTGTGTGAAGCACAGGTAGCTGAATGAAAGGTATGGTCACTCTGATTGCATGGTGTATGAAGCACAGGTAGCTGAATGAAAGGTATGGTCACTCTGCCTGGTGTATGGGAGCACAGGTAGCGGAATGAAAGGTATGGTCACTCTGCCTGCTGTATGGGTGCACAGGTAGCTGAATGAAAGGTATGGTCACTCTGCATGGTGTATGAAGCACAGGTAGCGGAATGAAAGGTATGGTCACTCTGCCTGGTGTATGAAGCACAGGTAGCGGAATGAAAGGTATGGTCACTCTGCCTGGTGTATGGGAGCACAGGTAGCTGAATGGTGCGCATGGTCACTCTGCATAGTGTATGTAGCTACTGCGGGTAGCTTAGAATGAAAGGTATGGTCACTCTGCCTGCTGTATGGGAGCACAGGTAGCTGAATGAAAGGTATGGTCACTCTGCATAGTGTATGAAGCACAGGTAGCGGGATTAAAGGTATGGTCACTCTGCCTGGTGTATGGGAGCACAGGTAGCTGAATGAAAGGTATGGTCACTCTGATTGCTGGTGTATGAAGCACAGGTAGCCGAATGAAAGGTATGGTCACATTGATTGCATGGTGTATGAAGCACAGGTAGCTGAATGAAAGCTATGGTCACTCTGCATGGTGTGTGAAGCACAGGTAGCTGAATGAAAGGTATGGTCACTCTGCATGGTGTATGTGTGAAGCACAGGTAGCTGAATGAAAGGTATGGTCACATTGATTGCATGGTGTATGAAGCACAGGTTGCTGAATGAAAGTTATGGTCACTCTGCATGGTGTATGAAGCACAGGTAGCTGAATGAAAGGTATGGTCACTCTGCATGGTGTATGAAGCACAGGTAGCTGAATGAAAGCTATGGTCACTCTGCATGGTGTGTGAAGCACAGGTAGCTGAATGAAAGGTATGGTCACTCTGCATGGTGTATGAAGCACAGGTAGCTGAATGAAAGGTATGGTCACATAAATTGCATAGTGTATGAAGCACAGGTTGCTGAATGAAAGGTATGGTCACTCTGCATGGTGTATGAAGCACAGGTAGCTGAATGAAAGGTATGGTCACTCTGCCTGGTGTATGGGAGCACAGGTAGCTGAATGAAAGGTATGGTCACTCTGCATGGTGTGTGAAGCACAGGTAGCGGAATGAAAGGTATGGTCACTCTGCCTGGTGTATGAAGCACAGGTAGCTGAATGAAAGGTATGGTCACATTGATTGCATAGTGTATGAAGCACAGGTTGCTGAATGAAAGATATGGTCACTCTGCATGGTGTATGAAGCACAGGTAGCTGAATGAAAGGTATGGTCACTCTGCATGGTGTATGAAGCACAGGTAGCGGAATGAAAGGTATGGTCACTCTGCATGGTGTATGAAGCACAGGTAGCTGAATGAAAGGTATGGTCACATTGATTGCATAGTGTATGAAGCACAGGTTGCTGAATGAAAGGTATGGTCACTCTGCATGGTGTATGAAGCACAGGTAGCTGAATGAAAGGTATGGTCACTCTGCATGGTGTATGGGAGCACAGGTAGCTGAATGAAAGGTATGGTCACTCTGCATGGTGTATGGGAGCACAGGTAGCTGAATGAAAGGTATGGTCACTCTGCATGGTGTATGAAGCACAGGTAGCGGAATGTAAGGTATGGTCACTCTGATTGCTGGTGTATGGGAGCACAGGTAGCTGAATGAAAGGTATGGTCACTCTGCATGGTTTATGAAGCACAGGTAGCTGAATGAAAGGTATGGTCACTCTGCCTGGTGTATGGGAGCACAGGTAGCTGAATGAAAGGTATGGTCACTCTGCCTGCTGTATGGGAGCACAGGTAGCTGAATGAAAGGTATGGTCACTCTGCATAGTGTATGAAGCACAGGTAGCGGAATTAAAGGTATGGTCACTCTGCCTGGTGTATGGGAGCACAGGTAGCTGAATGAAAGGTATGGTCACTCTGATTGCTGGTGTATGAAGCACAGGTAGCCGAATGAAAGGTATGGTCACTCTGATTGCATGGTGTATGAAGCACAGGTAGCTGAATGAAAGGTATGGTCACTCTGCCTGGTGTATGGGAGCACAGGTAGCTGAATGAAAGGTATGGTCACTCTGCATGGTGTATGAAGCACAGGTAGCTGAATGAAAGGTATGGTCACTCTGCATGGTGTATGAAGCACAGGTAGCTGAATGAAAGGTATGGTCACATTGATTGCATAGTGTATGAAGCACAGGTTGCTGAATGAAAGGTATAGTCACTCTGCATGGTGTATGAAGCACAGGTAGCTGAATGAAAGGTATGGTCACTCTGCCTGGTGTATGGGAGCACAGGTAGCTGAATGAAAGGTATGGTCACTCTGCATGGTGTGTGAAGCACAGGTAGCGGAATGAAAGGTATAGTCACTCTGCCTGCTGTATGGGTATGGTCACTCTGCATGGTGTATGGGAGCACTCTGCATGGTGTATGAAGCACAGGTAGCGGAATGAAAGGTATGGTCACTCTGCCTGGTGTATGGGAGCACAGGTAGCTGAATTAAAGGTATGGTCACTCTGATTGCTGGTGTATGGGAGAACAGGTAGCTGAATGAAAGGTATGGTCACTCTGCATGGTTTATGAAGCACAGGTAGCTGAATGAAAGGTATGGTCACGCTGATATATTAAAATATAAATATATATAAAAAGTTTATGGTGGGGGAAACAATTGTGATTGAAAACCCCTTCAACCTAAGTCTGTAGATAGTTAATACAATGTTAAACAAATATCTGCACACCAGTCAAGCCATAAGACTTGCTTTTTCCACAGAAATCACACATCTGCAGTGATGTTACTACCGCAAAGGATTCTGGGTGGGCATATGCAAATTAGTTTAACACTCAAATTTTTGCCTCATTCCATTTTAAACATGGATTCACTTAAGTCTGTGTTTGCTGTATACAACAGCTTTGAAACACAACTTCTGTGGGAAAAGCAAGTCTTATGGCTTGACTGGTGTGCAGATTTTTGTTTAACATTGTATTAACGCTCTCTCTCTCTCTCTGTCTCTGTCAAAACATTGGATTGACTGGTGTGCAGATCTGTCTTTAACAACGTTATAAATAACTATATGTATGTGTGTATAAATAAAAGTTGCTTCAAAACTTACTGTTCAGTTCCCACCTTAAGAAAATGTACAGCTTGCAACAACAAGAGGACATAGTCTTAAATTAGAGGGACAAAAGTTTAAAAATAATATCAGGAAGTATTACTTTACTGAGAGGGTAGTGGATGCATGGAATAGCCTTCCAGCTGAAGTGGTAGAGGTTAACACAGTAAAGGAGTTTAAACATGCGTGGGATAGGCATAAGGCTATCCTAACTATAAGATAAGGCCAGGGACTAATGAAAGTATTTATAAATATTGGGCAGACTAGATGGGCCGAATGGTTCTTATCTGCCGTCACATTCTATCTTTCTATGCAATAATGCACTCCCAGTTCTTTTAAGTAATGTAGTATGTGTCCTTTTTATTCCATACTTGGAGGTCTCAGAAATTCCCTAAGTGCGGATTGAAGTGTTAATTGTTATTTTGGATAACGTCTGTGTGAGAGAGGACGGTTTCTACATTACTTTAAAAAAAAAAAATAAAAAAAAAAATGAAAGGCCACTTTTCCATGTTTTCTATACTTTATACAAGTTATATTCTGGGAATTGTTTTAGAATATTTTTCTTGTAAAATGTATGCATTGCATTTGGCAGATCCCTTATTTGAGGGCTTACCATACAGCTGTGCCTGCTGAAATCCTGCATTTGCTTTTATAGATCTATAACAATCATTTACAAACCTATCCAAAATAGATATTATTTATATTGCATTTGTCTAATTTAAAAGGCTTTCTTATTTTGTAATTAATGTTAATCCTTCCGATGCAGCTTGTAGATTTTCTGTATCTCCACATCCAGCAAGTAACCGCTTCTTGTATTCTGTGAGCGCACTGTAAACTGTTACTTGGTAGCTGCATTTAGAATACTCTCTCTGGCTTTTGTCTGTCTTTTCTTTAGTATTTTGGAACAAATGTTTATTTTTAGAGAAGTGTGCATTATTCCATTATTGGAGCAAAGCTGGGAGTCTCCGCCTTGTCTGCCAGTAACGTGGAAATAGCATTTCATTAACATTTTTCTTCCATCTCAGCTGATGTGCACAATTGATGATTTGAAAGAGATGGGAATCCCTCTAGGACCTCGGAAGAAGATTGCCAAATATGTGGAGTCAAGAGTTGCCAATCAGGTATGTTCGGATATCAATCCCTGTTTCCCCTTTTCTGTTCTGTCTCACCAGTATTGAAAGATTTAATTTTTATTGTAAAAAACCCTAAGCATCTATATATTTTAGCTTGCGTATTAATCTAGTTTCCGTGCATTTGTTAAATAAATCCTAAATCTGAATATGTTCCTGTTTATAGTGTTCCTTTAGTTAACATAAAAGAAAACTGTTGTATAAAAATAAATAAATATGTAGCCCCTCCGTCCCCCGTCTCTAATGTAAATGTGAGTTTACTCCCCTTTATTCTGGTGCCGTGCGGGTCCGCCTGGTCTGGCTCCGCCCCGTTACAACTCCTTGGCTGAGATCATCAAAATTTATCGGCCTCTCAGCCAAGGAGGTGGGGCGGGGGGCAAAACCAAATGCCTCCCTGGCTTATCAGCATCTCCTCATAGGACTGTATGGGGAAAGCTCAGCGTCTCCATGCAGAGCTAGCTTGTTGTGCAGTACTGTCCCAGGAAGCACCTCTAGTGGCTGTCTGAATGACTGGCATTGGAAGTCTCCCTAAGCAGCAATGTAAACACTTAATTTTCTCTGAAAAAACAGTGTTTACAGCAAAAGGCCTGCAGGGACTGACTATACTCACTAGAACATCTACATTAGGCTGGAGTTGTCCAGGTGACTGTTTGGCCCATGTTGGAATGTACTGGACACATCTCTCTTGGTTTGGAAAGCATTCTGACATACATCCTTGTGCGATGTAGCTAATGAGGATAAACCCATATTTTGCTCAAGATGTTATTGTTTCTTTGTTTCAGGCACAGAGGAAAGCTGCAGAGGAACACAGAGCTGCTCTGAATGCCCAGATTAAAGCCCAAGAGGAAACCGCTGCCATGATCAGCTCGGCTGATGGCATTAAGAGCACCGATTCCTCTAAAACTAAGCTGCCTGTTGGTGTTTCTGTCTCCTCCGTTCATGTTGACTACCAGTACTTTGATATAGGTACCGGACAGGTATTGCTCCCATGCTTGCTTCATGATATAATCCTATTCTTATTTACTGCAGAGCTGAATGGCAGTTGGATGAATTGTGTTGGTGTAAGCCCATGTACCTCCCATTATGGTGACTCTGGCATGCTTGGGTATATTAGTTGCTTTAGAAACCTGCTGTGGCTTTCTTTAATCTTTTTTTTTCACTAGTTGTTTGTTAGATATAACCTGTTGGATTTTGAGCCAACAAACTTCTTTGCACTTGGGTCTCCCATCGGCATGTTCCTGACTGTACGCGGCCTGGATAAGATCAATGAAAATTACCGGCTACCAACCTGCAAGGGCTTCTTCAATATTTACCATCCGGTGAGGCCGAAAAAGATCAGCTCTTGTGATAAGAATGGGGATAGTTAATGTACTGCTTGGCAAGCTGTGGACACATTTCTTTCATCTTTTCTTATGCTGGAAATAAAGTGTTTTCATTGCTTTAAAGGAGGCTAAGTGGGGGGCAAGTGACCTAAATGTTGGGTTTAGCACTAAAGGTTCAGGAATACATGTTTGTGTTCCTGACCCTATAGTGTTCCTTAAAAGTCTAAAAATGAAAGATTTCACATGCAATATAGCCTGTCCTTCATTGTAGAGAAATATATGTTTGGAGTTTTTCAATGAAAGTTGTAGGGGAAAAAGAATTACATACTTGTCATCGAACTGGAACACTCCTTATATATTGACATGGGTGAGAATTTGGGTGAGCTATTTCTGACCTGGCTGATGACATTATCTAATGTCTGAAGTCATTATTTTATCCATTCCTAGAATTAAGTTGGATCAGTGGCAATTAATGGCACAATTCAGTACAGTGGAGTCTGAGAATGTAGAAACTTTTTACCACTTATAGGATATGTGGTAAAAAAAAAAAATGGTACTTCGTAAAAGAAACACACGTCCGTAAGGAGCAAGGCTGGAAATGAAGAGACAATCTACACTTCTATCTTTTCAGCACAGTAACAGTATGTGAGAGATGGGCAATATGCCGTAGGTTAGATCAGCTGTTCTTTGGAGAGTCGCCGTAACGGGTTACAGGAATGATGCCATGGTTTAGATCAACTGTTCTTTGGAGAGTCGCTGTAACGAGTTACAGGAATGATGCCATGCTTTAGATCAGCTGTTCTTTGGAGAGTCGCTGTAACGAGTTAGGGAATGATGCCATGATTTAGATTAGCTGTTCTTTGGAGAGTCGCTGTAACGGGTTACAGGAATGATGCCATGCTTTAGATCAGCTGTTCTTTGGAGAGTCGCTGTAACGGGTTACAGGAATGATGCCATGCTTTAGATAAGCTGTTCTTTGGAGAGTCGCTGTAACGGGTTACAGGAATGATGCCATGGTTTAGATCAGCTGTTTAATGCTTAGGGAGTCAAACAAACAATGATCTTGAATTGGAACAGAATTTGTAAATATACAATTCCCAGGAAGCATTATATGAAGTGTGAATTACCTCTTTTTCTGTTGGCAATATGAAATGAAAATACTGTAGACATTCCTTTTAAATCTCTGGTTCCTGGCTGCGGCATTCAACCTCCTATCCTTTGTTTTCCAGCTGGATCCTGTAGCCTACAGACTTGAGCCTATGATCATTCCAGATGTTGATCTAAAGCCGGTTCTTATTCCACATCACAAAGGCAGAAAGAGATTGCATCTCGGTAAGGACTGTACTAACACCCATCATTTTCAGTGGGGGCTTTGTCAAGGGAGCTTCTGGTCTGCATGCCTGGACCTCCAACATGGAAAGCTTCTAATTCTCGACATTATGGTAAAATGTCATTTTTCACAAGCAACATTAACACAATATATAGTTTGAGTTAAATGTAGAAAGCGGCATCACAATATAGCCCCATTGGGTGCTCAACACTGCCTGCCTTTCCGTAGCTTCACCCAAATTTTATTTCCTCAGAGCTGAAGGAAAGCCTGACTCGAATGGGCTCCGATTTAAAGCAGGGCTTCATCAGCTCCCTCCGCTCCGCCTGGCAGACACTAAATGACTTTGCGAGAGCTCATACGTCCTCGGCACAGCTTCAGGCAGAACTGGAGAAGGTGGCAGACCAGATCCAAGAAGAAGAAGCCAAGCAGCAGGAGGTGGAAGGTGCATGACTTATCTGTGGCCATCCATGGATAGTTTACAATCATTGAATATTGCAGGGCAATGTTGCGCAGATAGTTTTTCATATTTGGTAAATGTGTATTTTTACTGCATTGCAGCTGAGAAGTTAGAAAGTCCTGAACCATTCCGGGAGGAAGAACTGTCTGTCAAGGTTGGGATGTTAAACGGTGGCCGCCGTATTGACTATGTCCTGCAAGAGAAGCCCATTGAGAGTTTCAATGAGTATCTGTTTGCTCTGCAGAGTCATCTCTGTTACTGGTGAGTTTAGTATTATGTTGAAAACAGATGGATTCAGAAATTCCAACTCCCATAACGGTGTCGTCGTACAAAGTGTTTACTGAAAGAACAGAACTTGTCAGATTTTACCCCCTCACCTAGCTTAAAAATAAATCATCTAATGAGTTAAGACTCTTCTCGATTGGATAACTTATTTGGGTGTTATGGGAAGACTTTAAACTAAAATTAGCCGGAAAAAAAGTGTTGAAAACATTAGGATTTAAATAAAGCAATTCCTCCCTCTGGCTAAAGGGTTCTTTATCTCTGGGTTAGGACTTAAAATCACAGCGATAATGTACGTTCCCGACCACATGATTAGTCGGCATGGAACGAGAGTTCTGTTCTGTTCATATTGGGTGTCTATCGTCCATCGGTGCACAGCATACTGGCAACAGAGCTTCCCCTCAGCCTGACCTCCAGCGCGGTCAGTAAGGTGGAGAGCCGTCACTGGAGGAGGATTGGACTGTAGGGTGAACTTGGGCTTGGCGTAGGACATAAGGTGAGTTCGTCATTTTACTACAACCACTAACAGTGTTTTAATCGATGAGTCACTGAACTATTTTATAATAGAATTGTGCACAAACTTATTTTAGCCGATTTGTCCGAATTTAATTTCTTTTAATCCACACCCCAACTAATTGATATGTCTGGGATTTACCTGAGTATTCTTATTCATTGATTGAAACTCTAGTGAATCCTGGGCAGATCAATTCAATTGGGCGGGTATTAAAAGGAATTGGATTTTGGCAAACCAGCTGAAACTAAATTTTGAGTCTGATGCTCCCAGCATTGGCGGCTGCTGTAAGTTACGCTCTAGAAAACATAGCTCAGTGTCTGATGCTCCCAGCAATGACGGCTGCTGTAAGTTACGCTCTAGAAAACATAGCTCAGTGTCTGATGCTCCCAGCATTGACAGCTGCTGTCAGTTACGCTCTGGTAAAGTTAGCTCAGTGTCTGATGCTCCCAGCATTGATGGCTGTTGTCAGTTACGCTCCAGAAAACGTAGCTCGGTGTCTGATGCTCCCAGCATTGATGGCTGCTGTCAGTTACGCTCCAGAAAATGTAGCTCAGTGTCTGATGCTCCCAGCAATGACGGCTGCTGTAAGTTACGCTCTAGAAAACATAGCTCAGTGTCTGATGCTCCCAGCATTGACGGCTGCTGTCAGTTACGCTCTGGTAAAGTTAGCTCAGTGTCTGATGCTCCAAGCATTGACGGCTGCTGTCAGTTACGCACCAGAAAATGTAGCTCAGTGTCTGATGCTCCCAGCATTGATGACTGCTGTAAGTTATGCTCCAGAAAACGTAGCTCGGTGTCTGATGCTCCCAGCATTGATGACTGCTGTAAGTTATGCTCCAGAAAACGTAGCTCGGTGTCTGATGCTCCCAGCATTGATGACTGCTGTAAGTTATGCTCCAGAAAACGTAGCTCAGTGTCTGATGCTCCCAGCATTGACGGCTGCTGTCAGTTCCGCTCTGGTAAAGTTCGCTCAGTGTCTGATGCCCTCGCTATGCACAGCTGATTCCATTCTTGCGATGTGATGCTTAGTTGTCTTTCTCACTATACCATGTCTGCTTTGCTTTATTTCAGGGAATCTGAAGACACAGCGCTTTTAATTCTGAAAGAAATCTACATTTCCATGAACATTGTTCCGGATCAGCCTCTGCACTAAAACAGGTTTCTCCCCATTACATGTATGAGTTCCCTTCCTGGTGCGATATTATATTGCAGTTTCTTCTCTATTAAACCTGAAATGCCCGCTGTTCTGCTGTAAACATTGAATTGGAGTGTGTTCAGGGTTTGTGGATTGGTTTATTTTAACCATTGTCTTATTGGCACCATTTAGGAAAATGAATTCTATTTATTACTTGGCTGCATTTCGTTTTTATTAGTCTCCTTGTTTCTCTATTGTCAGTCTGATCTCCTATGATGCTCAGACTGAGTGGATCTTATTCAATAGTAAACACTAAACCTGAATGAGCCAAGCTGTAACGATAGCATTGTTTCCAAATCCTTTATTTTGTTTAGAATTTTGCACTGCAGTTTTCAGTTGATTAGACGTCTTCTTTTTACTGTATTGCTCTGCAGTTTGTGCTTTTCTAACCGTGACATTCTAGTCATAGCAATAAAGGTGCCAAAGTGGGTTTGTTTGTTTTTTGTATTTTCTTTTATTTATTTATTTATTTATATGTACATTTTTAGTTAGACCGATATTATTTATTTTTTCCAGTAGGTCCTAGTGGCAGTCATAACAAGTGAGATGTAGTTGTCCATTTGTCACAGGACAGGTAGCATAGAAAAGGTTAAAACCAAAAAATGCAGTCCCCACTCTCCTCCCCTTCTAGCTTTATAAATGGTATCTCCACCCCGAGCTCCCCCAGTATTTGCCTGTCTTTGAGAGAGACCGGTTTGTGATTTGTCCAATTCGGGTCAGGTGAAGAGCAAGGGTTCTGGTACTTGTGCACTAGGCTGTCTTAGAGTCTATCTCTTTCTTTTCTATAGTAGTGTATGGTATTCAGTGTACTGCGTACATTTTTATCAGTACTGTAATAAGCTTGCTACGTTACGTTATTACACTTAACTCTAAAATTAGGATCTGCAAAATTCTTCCAGAGTTTAACGCCTCCAAATGCATTTATTCCCTCTCATCCTATTTTGTAACCACAAACTCCCAATCCACTTTTGGGTCTATTCATTACGTATATCTGTGTTCTTACCTTTTATATTAGGGGGCCCTTTGTAGGTTTCATTTTTCTCTTCCTACATTTATCCATGGGATTTTCTCCATATGTTGAAAGTATCTCTACAATGGCTAGTTGTGAGCCTGGCCACGCTAAGGGTAGAATTAGTTGTTAATCATTTGTCTTATTAGCCTGCATGTTAATCACAGATAAGGATTTATATCTGTTTTTTTTCCTGTTTTCTGTTTGGATTTTGTATGTATTGGGATATATTCTTCACCCTATGGCAAATATATATTTATAGGTTTTTATAAGTGCCAAAATACACTAAACCAAACCCGTTAAATGCCACCAGTGAATATATGGATAATGAGCAATCCCCCTTTCTCTATTCTGAAAGCTGGAGAGAGTATAAGATTCCTCCAAATCTTGCCTAATGTCTCTATAACTGTTTATTTCCATTTATTTGGATATTTAAATGAAAAGTGTTGTATGTCACATTTGGCTTTGCGCTCTGGAAGAGCTGATTACTAACTGTGTGTATTTTCTTACCCCGCAGATACGAATCGGGTTCTAACTTACAGTTTAATACTGGTGTTGTTTCAGAATTACTCCAGTAGGCAGTCCCATCAGCTGGGGGTGGTGTACTTTGTGATTCAGGAGCCATAATCCACAGGCTCCTGTAGGGTGGGTGCTCTAGGTGAAATCGCGCCCTGTGTTTTTATCTTGCTATATCATTCCGCTTGTTATGACTGCCGCTTGGACGCCTGGAAAAACCTACATTTTACTCACCGTAAATTTATTTTTCCATAGTGCAAGCGGCAGTCAGGATTTCCCTCCCTTTATACTATAGATGTAAACCTATATCCTTCTATCAGCTTGTTATATACTGGGGAGCCCTTTATAAGGCTGGGAGGGGAGGAGACTGGGGGTTGTTTTAACCTTTTCTATGCTACCTGTCCTGTGACAAATGGGCAACTACATCCCACTTGTTATAAATCACAAATATAAGTGATAATACAATGACCACACAGATACAACACCCAATGTGACACTTTAAGGGTATACTTCCCAATAATTGCATCTAATGATACCAGTGCAATTCTTTCTTGAGAAATCTATAAGAAATAGACATTGCCGTAAATAGTGTAATCTGTATACTAATATTACAATAGGTAGAAATGTGAGATGTCAACTCACAAGCACAGAGCCGTACCAGGCTCTGTATGATCAGCATAGTGGTGCCAATAACTGGCTACAAAAGTACTCCAAAACAGGATCTTGCAGTATAACAGTTTATTAAAACAATAAAAATAGGACATAAATAAGTAGTATGTGTATAATACACTACCGCAGGAATTAAAAGTCCAAGTGCAAACACGTTTCGACTACCAGTAGTCTTCCTCAGTGCAGGATAAATCAAAGCTAGCGTCTTCTTTCCTTTTATAGTCACCCGAAGTTGAAATTTCGTGGTATGTTTTCTTTCCAATTCCGGGTTGTGGTGAATGCTCCGTTCATTTCCAGGTAACATGGTTGCTGGCATCAACTTCCGGTCGCGTGCGTGCGTCATCACACACGTATGACGATCACCTCTTCCCAATACAGGAAGTGTTCTAGCGTCAGTATGGGCAATATTGCCTAAATGCTAGAAACTTTTTAGGTATCCAACAAAAAAGGGGAAACATGAGTTTGAGTTGATGAAAAGATTTCAATAATGTTTTATAAATGTGTCTCAAAAAAGGCACTATAACTCACAATAATATCATAAAACATAACACTTAAAATAACATAGGTACACTTCCAGACTAGAGTATACAACTCGTAAGGGTAAAAGATGTATATACAATTCATAAATCAGGGTAACCTAGACAGTATGGAAAAAATTCCAGAGAGCTTCTCGATGGTCATGTTAACACTGACCCTATAGTGATCCTTTACCTTTAAGGGAATGGAAAAGCTGCCAAATAGTTTGATTCCAAATGAAGTGTTCGTTCCATTTGCAAAGCTAATTTCTCCTCCTTTGCTCTGGTCAGGTCTTGGACGTCTGAGTTGGCTTCCATGTCGGCATATCCGCTCTTCTCATGGCGATTCGGAGGAGAGGAGTTGATTTTGTGTACGATGTACCTTTCAATATGAAGAGATTAAATCTACCAAATCAAGTTGGACACTGAGTAGATACCGATCGATGCAACAGTTTTTTGTTTCAGCATCTTTTCTACAGTTTAGTTGAATCTGCGTAGCAGTTAGATGTCGACCTGGTTTTCCTTCAGGGGACGGGAGTATAACCCTCACTGGGAATAGTGAATCTCCAACCTGCAACATTTTAGTCTTTCCTCTCAGTGGATGGAAATGTTTGTCTCCGTTCCCCCTTATAATAATTCTTGTCTGCAATCAGGATGATAGTTTGAAGGACTGCTGTGATTATAGACTCATCTTTTCTTTTTTTTTTTTTGTTCTTTTTAAATAAAAGGTTTATTCAATATTATTGCAAATGATTTATAAAACAAAAAGTACATTTTAGCAATGTACAGCATGGAGTGGTGTCTATCTCTCTGCTGCTAAATAACGTACATGTGGCGATGGGGTTGTTGTACTTTAAAAAGTAACTGGAAAATACTATTCTATGTGGGAGGATCTGATACAGCAGTAATCTATGTAAAAAACAGATTTGTGTCAAGAATAAATTGAAATAAGTGGGGGGGTGTTTATCTCTCTAGTAAAACCAAATTGTGATAGAAATAACTTGAATATACTTAAAAAGTCCCAGAGGAATTAAAGAATGTTTGGGGTTTTTTTTCTATACGCATTTGAGGTGATGCTCTAGTGTAGCTTGGAGGAAAGACGAGACAGGGGGGATATGATAGAAACATTTAAATACATAAAGGGAATCAACACAGTAAAGGAGGAGACTATATTTAAAAGAAGAAAAACTACCACAACAAGAGGACATAGTCTTAAATTAGAGGGACAAAGGTTTAAAAATAATATCAGGAAGTATTACTTTACTGAGAGGGTAGTGGATGCATGGAATAGCCTTCCAGCTGAAGTGGTAGAGGTTAACACAGTAAAGGAGTTTAAGCATGCGTGGGATAGGCATAAGGCTATCCTAACTATAAGATAAGGCTAGGGACTAATGAAAGTATTTAGAAAATTGGGCAGACTAGATGGGCCGAAAGGGTTCTTATCTGCCGTCACATTCTATGTAGTTCAGTCAAAAGTCCTCCTTGGCGTTTGTAAGTCAAGATTTCCTGCGTCAGGAATTTTCCTTTGTCATGCCATGGACTTCTAAGCAATTTGGAACTCTCTGTATTTCTCCTTGTCCCCAAACCAGCTGGTGAGGAGCCCTAATAAGTGAGACAAGACAATGCCAGGTTCAAAGCGACTTCTGAGCGTTTAATAAGCCGTGTAACTGGTTATATACAGCAGGAAACAGGGGTGGTCGTTACAAGCATTATCCAATCCTAACAAAATCTATCTTATCTTAACCTATAGCAGGCTTCCAGGTGTATCTTCATGTTCGGACCTTGCTCAAAGCTAAGTTTCACTATAACTACACATGTCAAACTAATATGCATGCGCACTACGTATTAAAGATATTTACTACTAAGTTCTAAATTAAACATTACTATGCAGTTATGATCAAAGAGAGAAACACAGGAAATAAGGCCAACAGAGAGAAACACACAGGATGTAACACCTGTTACATGATGTTCTCCAGCTCTTTATTGTCTAGGGGTATATTCACTAAGCATTGGATATAGAGTATATTCTTTCAAATAGCTGACATGTTAACCAATGTTAAACAGACTGAACATCCTGTCATCTGGAGCTTGAGCCTTGGGTCAGTATAGGCAAAGTGTATTATTCCCAACAATTTCCCTCCTTCGTTCTCAACGTGAACGCATATAGTCAAAGAGGGAATAATACCTATCCTCTGTCTGTGGACCAGGGTTTAGGATTACCAGTCCACCTGGTGATCTGGGGCCAGGTAAAAAAAAAAACTCATATTTGAGGGAAAAGCACATCTGGGGAAACCCCGAGTGGGAACCACGACCGTGTAGACGTCATCCCCTTGATTGAAAAGGCCCACTTACATATTAAATCTTGAGATAAACTATATTCTAGCTTGCAATTCTGACAATAATTCCAACTAGGACCTTGCGTCCTATGTCTCCTAATCATGTCCCTTTTCCAACGGTCCAGTCAAAACCAGTCATATCCACACTCATTTCCTCAAAACATGGGAATCCATTCTTGGCACACTCAACATACATGAAAGATACATACTACATTCATCCCCGGGTCAGCTAACACTTCCTCTCTCTCTCTGGCTAACTCTATAAAAATCAAATAACAAATTAGTTCAGCATAGTTAAGTAAAATAGAATAAGTCTTTCAAGGAGTTTAGACACCATAAACTTTGTTCCATAACATAGCTAAGGGTAGTAATATAGCTGACAAGACAATATCAGGTTCTACATAGTTCTTAGTTCTTTTGTTTGCTGGATGTTCACCACACTTCTCTGTGCAACACCCTAATTATTGAAAGGGTTATTACAGAACTGCACCTTCAGGACTTTCCAAACAGATTTAATTGCAAAATAGTTATTGCATGGTCAGCCAGAGAGAAATTGGTGCGCAGTTCCAAGAGTCAGATAGCACAAACACTCCAGGACAGTCTCTACAATCATACAAACACAAGGAGCAATATGAAATCAATTAATCAGTTACCTAGGCTAAATCTTAACGGATCACTATAGGGTCAGGAACACAAACATGTATTCCTGACCCTATAGTGTTAACACCACCATCTGGACCCCTCATGCCTCCATAAATATAGTAAAAAATCTTACTGTATTCAAGCCTGAAGCTTTAAATCTGCATGCTGTTAGACTCAGAAAAACAAGCAGTCTGCTGATGTGGTAGCCTGATCCAATCACAGTGCTTCCCCATAGGATTGGCTGAGGTTGACAAAGAGGCAGATCGGGCAGAGCCAGCACAATTCAAACACAGCCCTGGCCAATCAGCATCTCCTCATAGAGATGAATTGAATCAATGAATCTCTATGAGGAAAGTTCAGTGTCTGCATGCAGAGGGAGGAGATACTGAATCACAGTGCTGCCCTGTGCTCTGCTGATAGCAGATCTGAGTGGATTGAGGCATATTATGCCTCCATCAACTCCGAAGTCCCTCTAGTCCACTCTGAGTGACTGCAACTGGAGGTGTTCCTAGCTTTCAATGTAAACACTGTATTTTCTCAGAAAATACAGTGTTTACATGAGAGGCTGCAGAGAGCTATAGATCTCACCTGAACAACCTCATTAACCCCTTAAGGACAAATTATTCCCTTTTATTCCAGAAGTTTGGTCCTTAATGGGTTAAGCTGAAGTTGTTCAGGTGACTAATGTCTCTTTAATGTGTCTGTAGTGTGTCTGCGTATTAGAGGCACACTACAGCAAGCAGTTTCACTTTCACAGCCCATGTTATTGCTCTGACCGCAGTGTTAAAAAAATACAGATAACAGTATTTCAATGTGATCTGATTTTTTTTCTTTTAACCACTGAGGGTTCATTTTAATTTTTTTGTAATCCCCAGGGGTTAAATTTATTTAGTTAGTTATTTAAATATTTGTAAAATATTTATTTAGCTAGGGTGGATAGAAATTAGTGGGGAGATTGGGGGGTTTATTATAAGGCTAGTTAAGGGTTAACAGTAAAAAAAAAACAAACAACTTTTAAAAAGTAAAATTTTTTAAACAAAGTTGTAAAATAAAAAGTTACAAAAAACTTGTAAAGTAAATGTTTAAAAAAGGAAATAAAAAAAAAAATTACCTCTATACTTGTTACAGGCTAGCGCTAAGGTTTAAAATATGCTTTTTGAAACACCCTAGGGTGTCTTTTTTTAGGAAATGGTATGCCTTTGTGAAGTAATTGGAATTTGTTTAGTAGGTTATGTTTACCAAAGTGGGGCATGGACCCAGCATAAAAATTCAAACTTAAATGGCTGTGTCTCAAATGTGCCCCTTCAGCGGCTAGCAGAAAAATGATCCCACGCTTAGGTTCAAAATTTGCCTTTTGAAATACCGTTGGGTGTCTTCTTTAAGAAATAGTATGCTTTTTTGGGGTAGTTGGAAAAAGTAGCCTGCTAACATATTTCAAAATAGAATACGGACTCATTAAAACCCTCTATGTAAATTCACACTTAAAAACCTGAACTTATCACGTCTCTTTGACAGCACTGTAACTTCACAAAATAGTGTCTAGGTCATACATTGGGCATATTGTTTTACTCAAAAGAGGTAACTGAGCATTCTTAGGGGGAATTTATGACAGTGGCACTTATCAAATGTACGAAATATGCAGCAAAAATGCAACATGTAAGTAAAAAAAGTTTGTTTTTTTTTTACTCACCACAAATTGGAAATAAATTGTGAGAAAATGGTGGCAAGTTAAGGTACAATATATGCCTAATAAGATACACTGGGGTGTCTGCTTTCTCAAATGGAAGGCCCTTGTGTGATTATTTGAACAGTCAAATGGCTATAATGCCACAAAATCAGACATATGACCATCTATGAAAATTCCAACTATACAGGGAGTGCAGAATTATTAGGCAAATGAGTATTTTGACCATCATCCTCTTTATGCATGTTGTCTTACTCCAAGCTGTATAGGCTCAAAAGCCTACTACCAATTAAGCATATTAGGTGATGTGCATTTCTGTAATGAGAAGGGGTGTGGTCTAATGACATCAACACCCTATATCAGGTGTGCATAATTATTAGGCAACTTCCTTTCCTTTGGCAAAATGGGTCAAAAGAAGGACTTGACAGGCTCAGAAAAGTCAAAAATAGTGAGATATCTTGCAGAGGGATGCAGCACTCTTAAAATTGCAAAGCTTCTGAAGCGTGATCATCGAACAATCAAGCGTTTCATTCAAAATAGTCAACAGGGTCGCAAGAAGCGTGTGGAAAAACCAAGGCGCAAAATAACTGCCCATGAACTGAGAAAAGTCAAGCGTGCAGCTGCCACGATGCCACTTGCCACCAGTTTGGCCATATTTCAGAGCTGCAACATCACTGGAGTGCCAAAAGCACAAGGTGTGCAATACTCAGAGACATGGCCAAGGTAAGAAAGGCTGAAAGACGACCACCACTGAACAAGACACACAAGCTGAAACGTCAAGACTGGGCCAAGAAATATCTCAAGACTGATTTTTCTAAGGTTTTATGGACTGATGAAATGAGAGTGAGTCTTGATGGGCCAGATGGATGGGCCCGTGGCTGGATTGGTAAAGGGCAGAGAGCTCCAGTCCGACTCAGACGCCAGCAAGGTGGAGGTGGAGTACTGGTTTGGGCTGGTATCATCAAAGATGAGCTTGTGGGGCCTTTTCGGGTTGAGGATGGAGTCAAGCTCAACTCCCAGTCCTACTGCCAGTTCCTGGAAGACACCTTCTTCAAGCAGTGGTACAGGAAGAAGTCTGCATCCTTCAAGAAAAACATGATTTTCATGCAGGACAATGCTCCATCACACGCGTCCAAGTACTCCACAGTGTGGCTGGCAAGAAAGGGTAGAAAAGAAGAAAATCTAATGACATGGCCTCCTTGTTCACCTGATCTGAACCCCATTGAGAACCTGTGGTCCATCATCAAATGTGAGATTTACAAGGAGGGAAAACAGTACACCTCTCTGAACAGTGTCTGGGAGGCTGTGGTTGCTGCTGCACGAAATGTTGATGGTGAACAGATCAAAACACTGACAGAATCCATGGATGGCAGGCTTTTGAGTGTCCTTGCAAAGAAAGGTGGCTATATTGGTCACTGATTTGTTTTTGTTTTGTTTTGAATGTCAGAAATGTATATTTGTGAATGTTGAGATGTTATATTGGTTTTACTGGTAATAATAAATAATTGAAATGGGTATATATTTGTTTTTTGTTAAGTTGCCTAATAATTATGCACAGTAATATTCACCTG